AGGTTTTTTTTTTTTAAATCCCCATAAATCATAACCCCTTTCTCAGATTAAGTCGTTCTCAGATTCTTGGCTGTGTGATGTCACACAGACCCAGGCCCCTCCCATGATTGTTGATTGGCACGGCCATCTTACCTTAGACCTGCCCTGAGCTGTCATCAGTCCACCATTGTTTATGTTCGATTGTTTATGTTGCGTCTATGTTCGCGCGAATCATTCGTGATTCAGCTGTTTTTTTTTAATGAATTTTGCAAATCGCCTTTCCTAATAATGTGCTAGTTAGCAAGTTTCACGATGAATGAGGCTAAAGTTTACAGTCTCAGAGAGAACCGCTCGTCACCCCACGGAGGGAGAGGGGCGGGGATAGCAGAGCTAATTTGCATTTAAAGGGAAATGCACTGAAACGGCTTGCTGTGAAAAGAGCTGTTTTTGACAGGGTAAAAAAGGTGTCTTTTACACTACCATTGATAAATTTTAACCAAAGTATGTTATAGACTTTTCATTAAGACCCTAAAGAATCACATCAACTTGTGGAAAATGGGCATCCCATGACCCCTTTAAAGTACAACATGTTCCTGGATCAACATCCTTCTTGATCCTGGAACAACATCCCAATAAACCCATCAGAATTGAGGGATAACTTTTCAGCAAATGTCAGTTTAGGCGTACAGACAGGGTTAGGTGCTTCTACACCCTTGTTAATCAGCTATCATTTCCCTCTGATTTTAGGAATAAATTATGGCTAAGGTTAGGTTTAGGGGTAGGGATTGGGTTAAGCCTATACTTTTGGACAGTAATGCTGATCCAGGATCAACAAAACATGTTGATCCAGGAACATGTCTTGGCAAAATCACGGCGACCGAAATGAAATCATTCTCATATGCTGATTTGCTGTTCAATAAACATTTCTTATTATAATTAAATGTTGAAAACAGTCATGCTGCTTCATATTTTTGTGGAAACCTTTGATACATTTTGTTTCAGGATTCATTGATGAATAGAAAGCTCAAAAGAACATTTATTTAAAACAGAAATCTTTTGTAACATTATAAATGTCTTTACTGTCACTTTTACAGTCATGTGTCCTTGCTGAATAAGAGTATTAATTTCTTTCCAAAAAAAAAACACTTACTGACCCCAAACTTTAAAACAATAGTGTATATGCATTTAGTTATACAGTATATGAATATTATATATTACCTGTATTTTCATGCAATTATCTTGTTATTTGAGTGTTGTTTTAATCACACCTCGCACGCTCTTACCAGAAAGACAGCGATGGCTCCGCCGGTGAAGTATCCAGCGAGGATGTCGGCCCAGTGGTTGCGGTATTCAGCCACTCTGACCACACCCACCAGCATGGCCAGACACAGCAGAGTCAGACTCAGTGTGGGTTTGGTCAGACGCGTCCCTTTAGTCCTAAACACCAACGTCACGTACATCTGCAAGAACAGACAGATAGACAGTGGTGAAAAGTATGCCTCATACAAGTACAACTAGGCATATTGCTATAATACAAAGCTTTAAAACTATTAAGTACTTTTTTTATAAGTATTGTAAATAGTATTTTATGTTTTGTAAGTATTAGATATTTTTTTAAGTATCTAGAATTATTTTTCCATTATTAGTTCATGATTTCATGTGAAGAATATATGTGACCCTGGAGCACAAAACCAGTCATAAGTAGCACAGGTATATTTGTAGCAATAGCCAACAATACATTGTATGGGTCAAAATTATCGATTTTTCTTTTATGCCAAAAATCATTAGGTTATTAAGTAAAGATCATGTTTCAAGAAGATATTTTATAAATTTCCTACTGTAAATCTATTAAATTAGTCAAATTCATTGCTAAAAACTTTATTTGGATAACTTTAAAGGGGTGCTATTATGCTGTTTTACAAAGTCTTGATTTTGTTTTGGGGGTGTACTAGAACAGGCTCTCATACTAGGTTGTTCGAAAAACACATTATTTTTCACATATTTTACATTATCACAACACCTCTCTCCCCAGTCTGGCATGAACAGCTCGAATAGTTCCTGTATCAAATGAAGGCCCGCCTTCTGAAATACGAAATGTGCTGTGATTGGTTAGCTGGGCCAGTGTGTGCTGTGATTGGTTAGCTGGGCCAGTGTGTGCTGTGATTGGTTAGCTGGGCCAGTGTGTGCTATTTTTAAGACCTGGGACAGTCTTGCGCACTTACTTCCTGTCGCGCGCACGCGCTCTCAAGTGGCCAAGACCGCGTTAAGTGTGGGTATTTGGACAAGGCAAAAATATATCCTTTTGAAGTGGACTTTGAACTTTGTAGATCTTTTTTTATGCTCAAACCGCAACATTACAGACTAACTAAAGTTGAAAAAGTGAAAAAGCATAATAGGACCCCTTTAAATGTATTTGGTGACGCATATTTTCAGACGTTCAGAGTCATGTTTTTTTGTTTAGATGACAAGAAATATGCTGAAATATGCCAAAAGATATTTTAGTACTCTTGCTTGGTTTGTGCATGTCAAAAAGAGGTGCACCATGGGAAGACAGACTGTTTTTTTAGGATCTTTCAACCTTTTAGTGTCATTTATCTTGCTATCTAAGAAAGACATGCACAGGAAAGCAAAGCGAAGAGCAAAGTCTTACAACCAGATTTTCAAATAGTTGTATCTCGGCCAAATATTGTCATACATCAATGGAAAGCTTGTTTATTCAGCTTTGTATAAATTTCCAAAAATGGACCCTTATGACTGGTTTTGTGGTCCAGGGTCACAGTTATAGGAAAAAATGTTTTAATGTTAAAATAAGTTTATGCTCTTTTGCTTACCCAAGGCTGCATTTATTTAATCAAAAATACAGTAAAACAGTAATATTGTGAAATATTATTACAATTCAAAATAA